CAGGACCTGCCGGCATGCGCTACCTACGAGCGTCTGCACCGCAGGGAGTGTCTTGCCGGGCAGGACATATGCTACCATTGCCGCCGCCCAGAACATTTGGTCAGAGACTGCCCAGACCGCCAGCAGCCACAGCAGGGTCAGAGACCGCCAGCCCCGAGACAGCCAGCTCAGAGACAGCCCGCATAGAGACAGCCAGCACCCAGACAGCCAGCTCAGAGACCCCTAGGACAGCAGCAGCAGCGTGGAGCACCCGCTCATATTTACGCACTCGACCAGGAGCAGGCCGCAGAGCAGCCAGGTACCATGTCTGGCATGTTATCATTGTTCCATACTCCAGTCTTCGCTTTATTCGATACCAGGGCGACACATTCGTTCATCTCGGCCAAGTTTATCTGTCTTAGGAGCCTAGGGAGTGAGTACTGTCTCGAGATCAGTCTCGCATTGGGAAGGAAGATAGTTACAAGTTCCCTGGCCAAGAACCTTAGCATCGATATCGAAGGCCGAACTCTAGTTGTAGACGCGTTTGTGATCGATATGAATGACTTCGACTTGATTCTCGGCATGGATTGGTTGACGAGATACCGAGCAGACATCCGTTGTCGCGACCAGGAGATGACGCTACATTTATCTGAGGGAGACCGCATTACGTTCTTTGGAACGAAGTCTCGAACTTTACCGCGCGTTATTTCCATGGCGAAAGCGACGAAGTACATGCAACGACGGAGCCAGTCCAGTCCAGTTTAATCGCGTAGATAAGTCCGAGCATTTTAGCATATAATTAATTATTCCGAGCATTATATTTAGCATTATTTGCTTAAATATTTATGTAGCCTAAGGAGAGTCGAGCCTCTGACCGCTACCCAGTATCAGCACTTGCATCAGAATTCCAAGTTTTCAGGTGGGGGTCATGTACTGGATTCCACATCATAGATAATATCTGTACCATGGCAGAGGTATGTTTGAGACAACTAGTATCCAGGTGGGGGACGACCTAAGGGCTTAAATATCCCATCTGATGACCGGTGGGGGGCCGACCTGAGGGCCTTTATACCCCATCGGTGTGTGCACACGAGCGGCTGACCTAAGGACCGAGGGTCTTTTGACCACAGAAAAGAAAGAAAAGAAAAGTTTACAGTTTCAGCTCTTATATATTTATGTTAATGACACGTTATTATAAATGATGTTTTATTCAGTACTGGTCTTTGCGGAGCATAGTGGTTTGCTCACGCCCCCATTGTGTTTTTCAGGAGACGGAGTCGAGCGTGCCAGATGAGCAAAGATGTGGCGAAGCGTGGTCATGAGAGCTGGGCATATTTTATGCACATTTTTATGTCCTAGTTTATGATCATGTATTTGATTTAGTTATGTATGCATGTATTCTGTATTTCGGATGCTTCCGCTAACAGACTAGACAGTGCGAGACAGTTCAGACATTGCATGTTTAATTCCATTATCCGCAGCGGATAGCTTGGTTGCATGTTTCATTTATGTCTGTGAGAAAGTTAAGTTAAGTTTTTATCTCTTCTGTCGCACCCCGCCTTACTAGCTTTGAAAAATCAGAGTAAAATTTTTATTTTTATTTTCGAAAGGTTGTGCGAGCTTGGTTTTCGAAAATACTGACTCATTGCGGGATGTCACACACACACACACACACACACACACACATATATATATATATATATATAGAGAGAGAGAGAGAGAGAGAGAGAGATAGAAAGAGAGAGAGAGAGAATTTGGTTAAGATGGCTGGAGGTGGTGATGAAAGCCATCACCACCCATGTCGCCTTTTTCTCCAGGTCCATGATCCTGGTCGAGAATTGTGGGCAGAGGCTGGACGAAGGCCAACAACATCAAGAAGACGATCGGCTCCAAGAATCAGTCCCCAACACAGAACCCTAGATGTCCATTGCCGAGTCTGTGGACAAAGAAGTTGTTCGAGAAATGAAATATGTTCATGGTGACGCCGAAGAATGACAGCGCAACAGATCCGGTTAATTGAGAGTAACGTGAACGGCTTCCTCGCCGGCGACGATGGCTTCCTCAGGTCGTTCTCCTCGAAGTCCGAGAGTATCGCCAATTGCAGGCTTGGACGAGAGTATCACCAGTTCCGAGAGTGTACATATAAATTGGCCAAAGAATTTTTTCAGTATATGTTGAGTTTATACTCAGTATATTTTCAATATATGTTGCATTTTTATTTACATAATATTATCTAACTATAATTGTGATGTTTGGATTTTGTTTATAGTTTTTGTTTATATTTCTTGCTTAATTTTATACCTGCAATTTGTACAACATTGATATGTAAAATATATTATAAGGGNTTTTACTTAATTTTATTTTATACCAACGATAAGCGTTGTTCATAATATAAAAAAATATTTATATATACTAGATTACAATTTTTTTTTGCTCAACCAAAATTCAGTTTATGCTTGGTTTATAACCTGTAACTGTGTATATAACATCTAGGTAGATATAAACAATTTAAGTCTCTGTAACACATAAGTAGATATATACAATTTACGCTTTCGTAATATACAATGACAAAACCAACCAGATAGAGAATTATAATAAAAAGAGGTCAAAGCTTAATGACGAGCATCATCATATTATATTTTCAGTATACGTTACATTTTTTTATTTTTACATATCTTTTACCAGCTCAAATGCCTTATTTCACATGCAGCTCTTGAACAACAATCGGACAACATCACTAGACAAGTACTCAACAACTAAAACATAAACATACAACATAACTACACAAATAAAAACGAAACAAAAAACATTAATATGAATATCCAAAACAACATAAGCAATAATCAACAAAAAATAAAAAAATAAATTGTTCATTTGTCGTCTGATTGCAATTTCCTCGTGAACAAAAAAGAAATGCTAATGTACTAAACATAAAATATAAATAAACATCAAATTAACATTGAAGCAGATCGAATCGAAACAATCGGCACATGTGTGTATATACTGAAAGCTTCGCTTTGGATATCATTTACACTATTTCTGTTGAAATGAGAATCATGTTTAATTAAACAAGTTCTATGTTCTGTTGTTTTGGACTTAGAAAAAATGGTTCATCGCGGGTGGAGAGAAGATCATTTTATCAGTCACTTGTGAAACAAGAATGATTGGTTCACAACCTGGATAGAAATGAACAAGCCATCAGAATAGTTGTGGTGTCAACCGTACAGTTGATCTTGACTAATTAACTGCACTAGTACATTTTATGCATTGAATAGGACCCAGAGAGAAGCAATTCGTTTTATACTGATTTGCGTTCTCTTAATCCGTAAGATATAATCAGGCATGTGCACGCAGTAGCTATTACTTTGATTCACTAAAAGCGAGATCCATTCTGATGGGTTGATAGTCTTCATGTTTTGGGTAATAGTGTTGTGTGTATGATGTGTTGTTAGAATATTTACGGTCACCATAAGAGTTAGTTTGATGATGTCCCCAAAGTGAGCTAATGAATGATTATTATGTTAACCCTACAGGTGGATTAAGTTCCGACATAATAATAAAGTTTTGAGTGGTGCTATCTTTGGTTCAAGATATCAATTAATTTATAACTATCAATAATCGAATTAATTGATGAACATTATATCTTAAACGTGGAGGGGTAATTCGGATAATTATTATTGGTGTCTTAATATAATTCGGGGATGATGAGGAAGTGCAATGATATTTTGTTAGTAGACCGAACATTATTTAAGTTATTGAGCGGAGTGGGCTCGACCCGTAGTTTGGCCCAATAACTTAAGAAGCCCACATAATCACCTCATTAAGGTCCCTGCTATAGCCCTATAAATACACCATTAAGCTCATGAGATTGGACACCATAAGACCGCACGCCTCACGCAGTTCAGCCGACCCTAGTTCCCTTCGAGCTTTATCTTTAACTTTTGTTGCTTCACCGAGACAACAAGTGAGGTGTCAGGTAATATAGAAAAAGTCTCCAAGGTACACGAGACCTCGGAGATCAACCGCAGGCAGCTGCACGAGAACAGACGTCCCCGATGAACCACCATCCGCGACCAGGCCACACGAGTGATCAGCTGAGACGAGTCCCTGACGATCCCCACGCACGACCTGATCGCAGGAGCAACTCGTCCTGTCCGTTTGCAGCCCGCGAACATCTCGTGCGTCCTCCCTGGCGACCACGACCCGCACGTTGCGACCCGACATGACCGCGTGACTCTCCCGACGACCCCGTGACATCCGACGAGGCTAAAATTCGGCTACCCAATGGATTCAGAGAGTTCATACGATCTCCAACAGCGAAAATCCATAATGTCTCTGAATCTGCAATTTTAAGCCATATGTTTTTTAACTTTAAACCTCTAGATCCGCTGCGCATAGGTTTATTGTTGATTATTCGATTCGTGACTTGTACATAACGAGATCATCACTGGTCCCAACAAGTGGTATCAGAGCCCATGGTTAATTCATTTTTTACGAAGTTCGAATTTATATGGCTTATGTGACAACATGTGTTCAAGCGCAGCCATAAAATTGGATTATATTCGCATAACTTGGTTTTGCATGAATTAGTTTAATCCAGCGGTTATGGCCGAATTGTGTTTGATTTGTTGTTGCTTGGGTTTTTAAAGTCTCGGACATGTCGAGAAATTTTTTGTTTTTTAATGTTTGTAATAATTATTCGCCCGGTAAGATCTCACAGATTCTATTGCATAGTTATATTATGTCTATGAATTATTTATGCATGTTATTAATTATTGCTTTATGATATGTGATTAATCAAGAATTGCATAATAAAATTAAAAATCTTCAATTAAAAATTATTGTAAGTTTGTCAAGAATTGCATAATAAAATTAAAATCTTCAATTAAAAATTATTGTAAGTTTGAGACGGAATGTTAAAATTAATGCTAATTTTAAAATCCTATAGCCTCCATTCTTGGTTTGTTTGGTTTGTTGATAAATCAATTAATCAAGACCTAGAACGAACACACACGTGATTTTGATGGTTGAGCAAAGGGCCTATAGGCCGGGTCTTCTTCAGCTCCTCAATCCAGAGGAACGCGACATCCATGTAACGCCACGTGTGATAAAGATGCAGTAGCACCAAATTTCCTGTCCACAGTACCTGTACCTGTAAACCCAAGTAAAATCTCCTATCCGGAAGTCTCTAATTTAGCCTCACGCGCGCACACACACAGGTTCACTCGAACCTCCGAGAAGTAGAACGAACACACACATTCTTTCCTTCTCCTTCTCCCCTCTTATATTCCCTCGTCAAATTCATCCTTTATCACCTCAAAAATCTCCCTCCAATCTCCCAAGGTTCATTTCTTTAGATACTCGAATTGTCGGTTCAAATGGCTTCGACGTCGTCACTCGCCGCCGTCCAGGTTAATAATGCCCGGCGGCTGGATTTTGCTGGTAGAGCCGCCTTGTTCCCTCGGCGGCTGGTATGTGTGAACTTCTCGGTGAAGCCTGGAGCTTCGACAGCCCTTGGTGCCTTGAATTCGAGGCGTGGCCACGTGAGTCTTACCAGAAAGTTGGATAAGCCCAATTGGAATTCCCGCTCTTTCAGCGTACGTTGCGATGCCTCGTCTGGGGGAAGAGTAAGTTGATTGTAGATTTTGACTTCTTTATCCTTTGTATGTTCAATTTTTTTATGGTTAGTTGATGAACTGGTTTTTCAACCGCGGATGGATGCGCTGATTAATATTTCAGATAACGCAAGCGGAATTCACCGAAATGGCATGGCAAGCAATTGTATCTTCCCCTGAAGTGGCCAAGGAGAACAAGCATCAGATAGTAGAGACTGAACATTTGATGAAGGCTCTTTTGGAGCAGAAGGATGGGCTTGCTCGTCGTATATTTTCCAAGGCCGGCGTGGACAATACTCGTCTTCTGGAAGCTACCGATAAGTACATTCAACGCCAGCCAAAGGTAGCCTGATATGTAGCTAGTTTAATTACAATGCCGTGGTTGTATGTAAGAATGATTTAATTATGTATTTCATCTGGGATGGGCAAGCTGAAGGTGTTTTAAAGTTTGTAAGATTCATGCTATTAACTTAACTAGCTATACCTTTTGATTCTAGTATCTTCTACACTGGTGACGTGGGCATTTCTTTAGGAAGTAAAAAGAAATTATTCAGTATTTGCTGTAAATTATTTACATCTCTTAGATAGGAAAACTCATTTCTCAGTTACCCTGTCTGCATTCCACACCTATGCTCCGTGTGGCATACGGCAGTATGGGTTTGTTGCACAAGCTAGCAGCTACCAGTTTGTTTGGTGTTTTCTAATTCTAGTAAATGTATATGTTATGTATGCACTTGACCTGCAAATCAATTTTTAAAGTGTTGTTCAAATAATGTCAGGTTCTTGGGGACTCAGCTGGATCAATGTTAGGACGAGACCTGGAAGGGCTGATACAGCGAGCCAGAAGTTTCAAGAAAGAGTTTGGGGACTCGTTCGTCTCTGTAGAGCATTTAGTTCTTGGGTTTGCAAGTGATGCTCGGTTTGGAAAGCAATTGTTTAAGGATTTTCAGCTTTCTTTAAAGACACTGAAAGATGCCATCCAGGCTATAAGGGGTCACCAAAAAGTTATTGACCAAGGTAATAACTTCCTTCATTGGAGCTGATTTTCTGTGATTTTTTTTTTCTTTCTCATATGTCTCTCTTCCACTCCGCTTGTTATTTGTTTAAAGTTTCCACCTTTTCGTCTTTCTACTAAATGGAAGAATTAGTCGTGCATTTGGATGCAGACTGACCAACATTCATGAAAATGCAAATGATGAATCTTTTGGAAAATCGAGCACTTCTGTTTCCTCCATTTGTATTTCTTGTTGAATAGGCATTGATTGTATCTTCTCTTCCTGATCTCTTCTCAGATCCTGAAGGAAAATATGAAGCACTTGAAAAATATGGAAAAGATTTAACAGCCATGGCAAGAGCTGGAAAGCTGGATCCTGTTATAGGAAGGGATGATGAAATACGCAGATGCATACAGATTCTATCAAGGAGAACCAAGAATAACCCTGTTCTAATTGGAGAGCCAGGTGTTGGGAAAACTGCAATTTCTGAAGGGTAAGATGCTGGTGTTTGTATAGTATGTCATTTAGAGTGGGAAGAGAATTACGACCTGGAAATGTCTGAGCATGATTACGACCTGGAAATGTCTGAACATGCATGCTAACTTTGCAGTTCTTATTGACACATTTAAATTTTGCATCTCTTATTGATCTTAGCAAGGATTATATAGTACAGTACAATGGAATTGGCCGATCAGATAAACTAATCCATAAATACTGCAGTCTGTTTTTGATTCAATTTCTTACAAAATTCAACTTGAATGACAGGCTAGCTCAGAGAATTGTCCAAGGAGATGTGCCTCAGGCTTTGATGAACCGCAGGGTGAATTATCTTTACATTTAATATTGAAACAATTTGTACTGAAATCCTCTGTGTGTATATCTTTCTTGTGTTTCCCTTATTCAGTGTAGAGCAAATTCTCTTTAATGGCGCAGTTGATATCTCTTGACATGGGAGCCCTCATTGCTGGTGCAAAATTCCGTGGAGAATTCGAAGATAGACTGAAAGCTGTGCTCAAGGAAGTCACTGACTCTGATGGCCAGATAGTTCTCTTTATTGATGAGATTCATACAGTAGTTGGTGCAGGTATGCTTCTGTTAGTTACTAGGGTATCTGCATTATCAGCCTTTCTGTTTGCACTGTCGTGATTTTTTTTTTTTTTTTTGAAGGCATGACTCTTGTGTATGGCTTATCTGCAATCATATTTTAATTTTAAAACATGTACATTTATACATACCTACTTCTTGTTTTTGGGATTGATTGGTTTGGGCCTTTTCAAAGTTCTTACTATTATAAATGAGACCAAGATATGGATTTCACATATTCCAGGTGCCACCAATGGTGCAATGGATGCTGGCAACCTCTTGAAGCCCATGCTTGGTCGTGGAGAGCTCAGATGCATTGGTGCAACCACTTTAGATGAGTACCGTAAATACATTGAAAAAGATCCAGCCTTGGAACGAAGGTTCCAGCAAGTTTATGTTGACCAGCCCACAGTAGAAGACACTATTTCTATTCTCCGGGGACTGCGCGAAAGATATGAGCTGCATCATGGAGTCCGCATTTCGGACAGTGCCCTTGTTGAAGCTGCTATTTTGTCCGACCGGTACATCAGTGAACGTTTTCTTCCTGACAAAGGTACAATAACCAAATTCAGTTTTAATATTCATACCAATTGCCAGGAAAGCCCAATTTATCTTTTGGCAGAAAATTACTGACTTGCTGTATATTCACTTGTTCCTATTTCAGCTATTGACCTGGTTGATGAAGCAGCTGCCAAACTGAAGATGGAGATTACTTCAAAGCCAACAGCTCTCGATGAGATCAACCGTACCGTTCTGAAACTTGAGATGGAAAGGCTGTCCCTTACAAATGATACTGACAAAGCAACAAAGGATAGGTTGAGTCGCCTTGAAGCAGAACTGTCTCTTTTGAAGCAGCGACAATATGAACTCACTGAGCAGTGGGAGCACGAGAAGACTGTCATGACTCGTATTCAGTCTATTAAGGAAGAGGTACACACTTAAATCTTCGTATCATACAACATAAAATCGAGTTTTGCTAAAAGTTATAACATAGTTAGTTGTTATAAACTAAGCTACTCTTTTACAGATTGACAGAGTGAACCTCGAAATCCAGCAAGCCGAGCGAGAGTACGACCTCAACCGCGCGGCCGAGTTGAAATACGGGAGCCTAAACTCCCTTCAGCGGCAGCTCGAGACCGCCGAGCGAGAACTCGACGAGTACTTGAAGTCCGGAAAATCCATGCTCCGCGAGGAAGTCACCGGTAACGACATCTCCGAAATCGTGAGCAAGTGGACCGGAATTCCCGTCTCGAAACTTCTCCAGTCTGAAAGGGAGAAACTTCTGCATCTCGAGGAAGAGCTCCACAAACGCGTAGTCGGCCAAGAACCTGCGGTTCGCTCCGTAGCCGAGGCCATACACAGGTCCCGGGCAGGCCTCTCGGACCCCCACCGCCCGATTGCTAGTTTCATGTTCATGGGGCCCACTGGGGTTGGGAAAACCGAGCTGGCCAAGGCCCTTGCCTCGTACATGTTCAACACGGAGGAGGCTCTCGTGAGGATCGACATGAGTGAGTACATGGAGAAGCACGCGGTCTCGAGGCTCATTGGGGCGCCGCCGGGCTATGTCGGGTACGAAGAAGGCGGACAGCTGACGGAGACTGTTCGGAGGAGGCCGTATTCGGTTATTCTATTTGATGAAATCGAGAAGGCTCACTCGGACGTGTTCAATGTGTTCCTTCAGATCTTGGACGATGGTAGGGTGACCGACTCGCAGGTAGGCTTGTAAACGAGTTCGAAATTTTTTTATTCGAATTCGAATAATGTTATATATTCGAAAGTTAGACGAATCCGAATTTGAATTTGTAGATATTCGAATCGAAGTATCGATATTCGATTCGTTAACGATAATTATATAAATTTTATAAATAATATATGGTATAAATTTTGTTTATAATTTTTATGACATAAAAAGTAAAAACATCCCAAATTAATAATTTGCCCTAAAACATCTCCTCAAATTAGATAGGAAAAACATAAACAAAATTTTTTTAGTTATAATATTTTTCTGAAAACGAATTTCGAATCGAATCGAATATGTTCGAATATTCTAAACGAATCGAATGCGAATAAAAAAATGAGTTCTTTTACGAATCGAATACGAATTCGAATCCTCGAATATTTTAACGAATTCGAATCAAATATCTTAATATTCGCTTTGATTCAATTCGTTTACAACCATACTCGCAGGGGCGAACAGTGAGCTTCACGAATGCAGTGATTATCATGACCTCGAACGTGGGGTCGCAGTATATTCTCAACACGGAGAACGAGGACGTGCCCAGGGAGACGGCGTACGAGACTATAAAGCAGCGGGTGCTGGAGGCTGCGAGGTCGGTGTTCCGTCCCGAATTCATGAATCGGGTGGATGAGTACATAGTGTTCCAGCCTCTCGACCGTGATCAGATTAGCAGTATCGTTAAGTTACAGGTTAGTTCTTTCTTCACATCTTGGTCGTTGTTGGAATTTAGATTTTACTGTTTGATGTTGCTATGATGATGGAACACGTCTGTTATGGTGGAACTTCTTCTGGGAGTTGCCGTGCTTTTCTCAGTTGTTTGGTCTGCTTGGGTTCTTAACCTGCTGGCTGATGATATGAATTGTAGCCAACTGTGTTGTCCCAAACGATACCTTTATTGAATCGGTTAACAATTTAGTCTTACTATAATCCATGAAAAGTTCAACACAAAGTAAACAGAACAAGATGACTATCTTTTGAAATTACCACCACCCTATTGACAATGAATTATATCTGTAGTCCCAGATAATGGGGTTTTCTGAGAAACGATTGATCCATCAAAGTAAGCATAATCTTGAAAGATTTGTTTTTAATACACTGGGGGTATGTAATTTGAAACATTTGGAAGACAGCTGGATTGTTTAGTTAATTCTATTGCCATAATCTCTGGTGTACTTCTAGAATTTATCCCGTTGCATTTGTTATTAGTTACCGAGTCATTTTTATTTTAAACGCTCTCTATAGTTCATAGGTAACAGTTTCTACATGCAGCAGACTGCTCAGAACTGACGTTCACCGCCATTTCTCATTCCTTCATTCCTTTGTCATGATTTAAGACTGCATTCTTATATATTCATCTACGTGGAATGGATAATGTCCAACTAATCTTTTCATTATTTTCTCTATGGCCAAATAGTTGGACCGTGTACAAAAGAGGATAGCAGATCGAAAAATGAAAATTCAGGTGACTGATGCAGCAATCCAAGTACTTGGCAGCCTCGGATATGATCCCAACTATGGGGCCCGGCCCGTAAAGCGTGTAATCCAACAATATGTAGAGAATGAGCTTGCCAAGGGAATTTTGAGAGGAGAGTTCAAGGATGAGGACACGATAGTTTTAGACACTGAGGTCATGGGTTTTGCTAATGGCCAGTTGCCACAGCAGAAGCTTGTCTTCAGGAAGCTGGAATCAGGTTCAGGTTCAGGTTCGTCTTCTGAAAGCAAAGGAGCTGCATTGTCACAAACAACATGAGATAATATGATACTTGGTGCTTGTAATGTGTAAGAGACTGTTTTGCCTGTCAAAATGGGCTATTTGGTATATGACTACGCTGTTGGTTGTGATTATTCAGTGGGCCTTGTGCAATCTTGATATACAGTTTTAACAGTGGACATTTTATGGTTTGTTCCATCCATTGTTATTGACTCGCAAAGAGCTTCTCTAATCAAAATGTGGAAATTAAACATTGTGGTGTATGATAGACTTTAAATTTTGATATATGGAAATGTCTAAAAATCCCTTTTAGCCACCAATTGGTCGACTCTTGGGCTATGTTTGGTAAAACTGGCTGATAGTTGATAAGTTAGCTTATAGCTTATGACTTATAGCTGAAAAATTAGCTTATATGACAAAAGTGTTTGGTAAAATTAGTTGATAAGCTAGCTGAAATAAAAAATTCAACTAGCTTATTTGAAAAGCTACTTAAAGTAGTTCATCAAATAAACTCGAGCTTTTTAAAAAAGCTCGTCCTACTAAACGAGACTTATTTGAATATAGCGAGCTTATAAGATAACTATGTTAGAAATATTTTATTGGACAACATATGTAAATTAAATGTGTATAGTTGTCATAATATTATTCAATTAAAGTGATCTACTAATTTGTACTTTTGAATAAAGAGAGTATCAAATTGTTATGGATTTAAAAGTGTAGATACCATTATGTGATTTTCTGTTTGTTGAGGGACCGAACTGAAAATCAATATTTCTTATTTATTTGGTTATGGCCCCAAACGACGAAAAGACACGAGCAGATTTATGAAGGGGTGCTTTCTCCCTTTAAAAGCACTCACCTTCTCACTTCAGAATAATGGAATATACAAAAGATATATACCAATACAAACACTATGGATAAAAATCTGCTATAAGGTTTCGATCGTTTGGAAGACTATACCAGTCCAACAAGATCGTTTGGAAGTAGATATCCACATGGAACTGAAGAACAAAGAACAGATGAATTTTCAATTCAATGAAGTTAGGTACGCTTCCGCTTTTATTCGGTTTGATTCTCAATTATTCGATATGAATGCTCCTGGGATAAAGCGATGTTTTTATTCGCATAAGGTTAAAATTTACAACAAGTGGTATCAGAGCCTCTTCATATTGATTATTTGAGAATTGATTTATATTTGGATTTTGTTGTTTCATTGAAAATATGGATTCAGTTATGATTTATTTCCTGTCCTTGCATACATGTATGAAATATAATTTATGGGATCCAAATTACATATTTTCGGAATTCTTTTTGATTCATGTGTTGACATGAATTCAAGTTTGAATCATGAAATCCAAATTCAGTTCCACTTTTGATTGGTTAACACATGCTTCTATTATTTGGGTGGATAATTATTATCACTCTATTTCCTAATTCCTCTTGGATCACATTAAGTGTTATTTGGATTCAACACGCGCATGAATGTATAATGCATATTAAGTTTGGACCTTTAAATTTTTTTTTTGAATTTGAGAAATTGAATACAGACTTTAGCAATTCTAATATGGATTCTGTTAAGTTTTATTGACTCATTAGGCATAACATAATGTTACTTTAGCTTAATGATTTTGGTCATGTTTTTTCATTGGTTTATTTGAAAATGGAACATGATTTATTTGTTCTCAAATTTGAGAATAGTTTCATGAATTCTATTATGTTTTCATGATTTTTTTGGGCTTAAAATGTACTTGAGAAAGCCATGGTAATGGCTGAATCCAACAAGTCTGCAAACCGGGTCGGGTTTGACCCACAGGAGGTTTATATTTA